ACACCAAAAACATGTTTCAGAAAGGGGATTATTTAACAACCTCAACATGATTCATAAAATTTTATTTCAAGGACATAGATCTCAGGTCCTCCCATTGTTCTGGACAAGTACTGCTTCTTGATATCCTAATTAACTATTTACCTTTTAAACTCTCACTTGTTGTACCATCTTGTTTCCATTCCTTATAGTATCCTGGAATGGATAACTACAATTTTTGCTATCTATCTTTTGAGAGAAATTTCATTTAAAAAAATCTCTTAAAGAAAACTAAGCAATCCAGTTTTACATAATTCTTCATTTCTCTTTTAAAAGTATACCTTGAATGTTCTTTCTGACATTGTGTGCGGTGATTTTAAGAACTACTTTTCCAATCATCCAAAGATAATTGTAAATCCATCAACACATATGTGTCAATGATTTCTTTCCATGTACATTTTCCTGCTTTTGTTCACGTTCAATTGGATCTGCTATTGGGTTTCCTAATTATTTTCAGTAGGTACTTAGAATCCTTGCAAACATTAGCTAACCTATATAATTCCTCACCCTCAACAAATTAGTTTGCCACTTACTATTCTAATCTTTACACCACTAACGAATGCCCAGAAAATCGGTCCTCATACTCATGGCTGGGAGTATAGCATCATTAACTTCTTTCTAATATGAGCACAATTTATCTCACCACCTGATGCTACTTTTAAAGGAGCAAAGTGAAGTAGAGCGATATCAATCAATCAAAAGCATTCACTTGATGCCTATTATGCACCTATGCAATGATGGAAATTAGGTTACACAACCTTGTTCTCTAAGAATTTAGCATCTAGTTTGGCAAACAGCTATAACTTAATACTAAGACAATAAGTAATTAATTGCTAGACTATAACAATGGTTTTAAATGATAAAGAATAATAGCTTATAATTAGGCAGAAAAAGTAGACTCTCAGATATATTTTCCTTAACGATCTTATAGTACATAAAAAAGAGGTCATCACTCGACAACGGAAGCAGCATGAGCAAAAAGCACAGAAGGAGGCTGTGGAGGTCTACAGAAGGATGATAAAAAGACCAAGTATCCTTCTAATTGGCAACCATGAAAGATCCATTTGAATAGATAAGATGAAGTCACCAAAGTCATTTGTTGCTTTATTATTATTATTATTATTATTATTATTGAACAGATACACCCTGAGTTCCTAGAGTGCTTTGTTTAGGCTCAAGAGCAACACAGAAGTGCATTCGGCAGGTTCTCTGCCTAAGAAAGCAGTGTAGAGCTATACGTGTAAGTTATGTGAAGCCTCCAAAAACACTATAATGGTAGCTTGGTATCATTAGATTCTAATGGGTTGAATGTCAGGCTTTTATAAGGTTTGGACTAGACTTGGAAAGACTGGTATCATTTAATATTTTTTATAAGGGATCTTAGGTTCTTCCTTTATAGCTTTTCTGAGGTTTCTGTCTTTTTTCGTTGTTGTTTGCTACTTCCTGATTTTTATTATGCCAGAATTACTATATTAGTTACAAAACAGATGATGTCTTCTACAGTCTTCCCTATAAACATTTGCCAAATTAATTTTCCTAAAACATAGCTCTTTATCAAGGAAAGACTTCTGCTGCAAAAAATTTTGACAGGACAGACCTTGATCATCTTGGCCATGATTTTATGGCCTCCTCATTCTTTAATTCCAGCTGACTTTATCTTTTATTATTCTTCCACTCAACTTTATATTCTGATTAAGAAAACTAACATGCTGCTTTTTAGCAAGGTTTTCTGTTTTATGTCTTTTCACATAAAATGTTTCCATCTGGGATGTACACCCCCTCCCAACTGCCATTTATGTGAATTGCTACTGTCCTTTAGCCAAACTTAATGGCCCTTCTCCATGCCTCAACTGAAAGTAATTTTTCTATTCTGTGAATTCTGCATTCTCCACTACACCGCTTGCACTTGTATGTCTTCATATTGAAGTTGGTATCATATGTTTTAGTTTTGAATGATGTTGTCAATTTTTTCAGCTCCCCAGAGTTTGCAGAGTGAAAAGTGGGCAGAATACACTGACTATTCCCAGAAGTAAATATCACGGAATAAGATGGATGCTAGGAGAATGTTAGAAATGAAGAAATACACAGATGCCTGTTGGTTCCTTTGGTTGCCTGGAAGGCTGATGGAGCCAAATGTCCAGGAATTTGGAAAGGGACATGAGAACTTATAAAATATGGCAGCTTCCAGCAATGCTGGGAACTTCTGAGCCAATCAGGATGTGATTTAAGTATAGAAACAAATAAAACTTTAAAGAGTATGTTTGCCATCTATTGCCTGAGCCAAATAATAGACTAGAGCTGGGGTATCCCAATAAGGTGAGGAAACGAAGTATTAAAATTAAATTTATTGTGTGTATAGCTTGATTTTTCTACATGTCAGCAAAAGTTAGCATTTTAGCAGAATAATCTGATTTATAATAATGTACCCTTGATCTCTGTGTCCAACTGGACTGCATAATGAACGCAGCAATTTCCCCTTCCTCTCTCTATAAAGGTAATTTCTAGTATGATGGAGTAACTAATGTAGATTAGGGTTTTTGAGAACTAGAAATAATCAAGTTTTCTGCAAGGAATTCATCCGAAGGCCAAAAAGCTTAACATCATGACTCTAGTCATTCATGAAAACCACATGTAATTCCATATTTCTAACTGAGTAGAATGAGCAGAAAGATGACCCCATTCTCCATCCTCCAGACTACCTGTTCTCAGCAGACTTATAACTACCATTTTTTGTTGTGAAAAACTATATCCCCTTAGCTTTAATGCTTAAAATGTTTTCCATTAATCTGGATAAATTTGATTCTAACTCTTGTCAGCTGCATGACTTTGGGCAAAGTTTTTCATCTCTCTGGCCTTCAGTTAACTCACAAGTAATGGGGATAATTAATAATAATTACTTTATGCAGGTTGGTGGAGGATTGGCAGGCAGGGTGCCTGGCTTGGTGAGTAAATTACAAGCACTCAAAAATAATATGTCTTTTCTGTCTTTCCCAGTCTCTCACATAAACAAGAAAATCCAAAGAGGCAGATGAAATGATATCAAAATGCTAGCAAAACTATGAATTTGTATTCTGTTTTTTACCTTAGACAATATAAGATCGATACAATCCAATTTTTATGTTTTTTAAGATTGAGACAAAAGTATTTTTCTGAGTATTCAATTTTACATAATTACTGAGAAATCCAGAGCTTGAATGATGTGCCTCATTCCTACTATATATTATTTCTAGAAGCCAATTTTGCATCCAAGACCAAGTCTTCACACATGTATTTTCAGTACGTATTATTTCATTCCCCACAGCTAAGGATAATCAGATAAGATGTCTCTTTACATTCAACAGATAATATTTTGGAGACAGTATTTTGTTTTTCTGTGGTTTCCAAAAACATTTGGGCAGAGAAAGCCAAGCTATTTTCATAGCTTACCTCAATTTGTCTTCATTAATTGAATGTCCTTATATAGGGTATACTTATCAACTAAAAGAGTTAAATGATATAAAGCTCATATACATTCACAGTTGTTGTGAATATTTTTAAAATGTTTTTAGATTAATTGAACATTTTTATCCTGAAATTTCTGGGTGTCTTAAGGCTTTATTAAATATAATATTTGGCCACAGTTTGCAGCGATGATGGTAGTGATAATCAAGTAACCACATGAGATCACATCAAAATGTTTTTTTCTATAAATATTTTAAAAAGTGACATATGGGATAATTATTTTACAGTTAAATATCCATAATAAATAAGTTTAACACATATTAGGTCACATTACATGAAAATTATAAAAAATTTAAAAATCACCGTAAATGCCACTGCTCAGGAAAACTTGTCAAAATAATAACTAAATATGAGGCATACTTTGGTTATAAAATTTAAATAGTACAGAAAAGTATAACATGGAAAAGATACCCCCATCCATCTTTCTTCCTTATCCCCAAGTTTGTTATCCCCCCCAAAATAATTATTCTTATGTATAACTCTGGAATTTATTTCAGGAAGAGGATTCATTTATGGATGCAATCCTTTTTTATTTCATAAAAGACACATTGAATAGTCTTTCAATCCTAGTAACAAACATGACCCCTGCATAGTTTTTCAATTTGATAGGTGTCTATACCCACAAAAGTATGCCATGTCAGAAAGCACGGATGCACCTTCAATTTAGTGAGGTAGAAAAGTAAGATTATGAATCAGTTAATTAGCAATTACCACCCAATACCATTGATTTTACCCTGCCCTAGGGTAAAACTAGTTGCAACTTTTGGGAACCAAAGAAAAACTGCTACTATCTTGTTGGTGTTCATTATAAGGATTGAGGACCATACTTAACAGAAAAAATAATGACTCTTCACAAGAATCTCTTTTTCCTCTATAGTTAACACAGTTTGAAATACACTATGGCAAATTATTTTCATTGAAGCAAACTTGGCTGATTTTTCCAGGTTGAGTTAAAATGTACCTTCCTTTCCTGTATACTCCTTGGTAGGCTCATGGTATTCACCAAAGCTCTCTTACCATACTCTGCCCAGTATACGAGTTTGGTCTATGTGAGTTCCAAGAAGCAACAGAATTTTCCAGCAGTTTCGTGTTTATGGTGTCGGTGCTAAACAATTGTAGACTAAACATCAACCTCTGTTACTAGGTTTTGGTGGTGAACTTCTAGATGATTTGATGATATGTCTGTTTTCTCTACATTTATTGGTTGAATTAAACTAAATTGAAAGAGTGTAAGCAGCAGCTATCAAATAATGATATTTCAAGGGAAAGAGTCACTAAATAATAATCTGTCTACCCATTCCCTCCTTATTCAATTATTTGTTTCCTATGTCTTTCTCATTTCTCCTGTTTGTCTTGTCTCTTTTCCCACCTTGGTTTTTTCTCTTATAAAATCACATGGCATACACACACACACACACACACACACACACACACACACTTTTACATATTTGATCTTTCCTTACCGGGATGAAGATGTAGGCTCAGTAGTTTGTCTTTGCACACGTGCATGTTTAATCAAATGTTCTTTCAAAGCAGTTTGGACTTCTGCTGGGATATCAGGGGAAGTGTGGCTGATTTTTATTGCAGGCTCAATAGCTTTTCGTGCTGGCTTTCCATTTTCTTTAACCTCTTTTTTCTCTTCAGTCTCAAAAACTTCAGTGGGAGCACTTGAAGCGCTCTGCGGAAGAGGACTGATGTTGGAAGTCACGGGTTTGCTCTTCCAGCAAGGCCAGCACAACTTCCAGAAGACAAAAAGGGAGACAACCAACAAGGCCAGGCCACAAAAGCTGACAACAACTGCTAACAAGCTGACCGAAATATCTGGAAGAAATTACAATGTAAAAAAATATATTAATTCACTGATAGCGTACATAAAAAAGCAGAAATGGTCAGGTCATTTTACATTATAATTATTAATAACAGCTTCCGCATTTAGTTTCAAAAATTTAATTTTAAGTTATCTTTGTTGGGAGGAACAATTAGTAATTATGTCGGGAAATTCTCAGAGGAGATATTTGAAAAATCCCATCCCAAGAAAAGTTTCCAGTTGTATAAAGAAAAAGCATGATATATGCTTATTATTTCTAAGGACACTACAAGGGGCCCAAGGGTTTGCAAAATGAAGGTTGGCAACTAGCAACCTGCCAGGAAGTCATGAAGCTTAAGAAACTGAGAAAACTGCATACACAGAAAAGGCTCCTGTTGGCTTCATCTTTGATGCAAAGGTGTAACCTTCTCACTCTATGAGCAGGGAATAACGTTAAATATTTGTGTAACCCACTTTTTATAGTCTACATGAGAATACTATTACTAATAGAGAATGTATGCACTGTTAGCTGTATTTTCATTCTCCATAGTTTGATAACCTTGCATGCTCCTAATTTCCAAAGTCCAAAATTAGTGAATGATTTGTTATCTAAGTAGCTCTAAAACATTCTTATTTAAAAATAATTACAAAATTACTATATACTCATTATGTAATATATACTCATTATGTAAAATGATGGACACTTAGAGTTAAAGGAATATAATTAAAAAAATTAATAAGAATGAGTAAATAAATAAATGGGAGAGAAGTGACAAACCTCTCATGTAGAATTCCAAACAATTTATGTAGATGCTTTGCCCTCCAGGAGGTGGAGCACAGGTCCCTACCCCTGAAGGGTGGGCAACAATGAGTAATTTTCTCCCAAAGACTACAGTATGGGAAAGGATAAAAAAGGGATAACTTTGCAGTGGAGAAACCTCAACCAGATGATCAAGGTGAACATCAACAGTGATGAATCATATTGATAGTATGTACCCTTGATATGATGTGATGGAAATGATGCTTTACCTCGGTGGTCTTCCTCTCCCAAACCCATAACCCAAGTCTAATCATGAGAAAAAAAATAAGACAAAGTCCAGTACAAGAGCATTCTAAAAAATACTTGACCAGTGCTCTTCAAAACTGTCAAGGTCATAAAAAATAAAATAAAATAAATGAGATATGAGAAACTGTCACAGCCAAGAGACTAAATAGGTATGACAACTAAATGCAATGTGTTATCCTAGATGGAATCCTGGAATAGAAAAAAGATATTAGGTGAAAACTAAGGAAATTTGAAAATAGACTTCAGTTAATAATGTATCAATTTATTTTACTTTTTTATTCATCAATACTTGAGGTCTAACTTCATGTCACATAGGAGTAGTGCTCCATAACTCTTCATCATGATGGATATTTAGATTATGCTCATTGCTTTGCTATTACAACATAATTACAATAAACATCCTTACACTCCTCCTTGTGCATATTTGTGAATGTTTCTCTCAGGTAAAATTCTAGAAATAGAATAGGGTCATAGGTTATACACATATTTAGTTTTACTACGTATTTCCAAAATGCACTCGAATGGCTGTAATGAAAACATCACATGCCAGTTCCTACAATCGCAGAGAAATATTGTTGTACTTTGCTTTTCACTGATTTGAGGGGAGAAATGACACCTTGGGTTTTTTTTTGGTTTTTTTTTTAGCTGAGCCATCCTGCCACAGGTTGGCAGCTCAGCAGCTGCTCAGCTGGGGCTGGGACTCAAATCACTGTTGCTCAGAGTTCAAACTCTTGAGTGAGCTCTTAACCAACTGAGCCACTCAGCCGGCCCCACCTTGTTTTAATTTACATTTCCCTGATTGGAAAGATAAAATGGTTTTGTTTAAACCCCCAATTTGTAGCCGATGGAAATCCATTCAGAAATTGAAATAATTCCAAGTTTTTATTGCTACTTTATAAGGATAAAAATTAATTTTGACATGCTGTGATACAGAGATGTTAACATTTTCCTGAATATATTTCCCATTTATATTCCATTAGCGAGAAATGTGTGATCATATTTTATACTTCGCAGTTTATTTTATTTTTACTTTTATTTTTCATTAGCACCATAACTTGAGGAAAAGGGAAAAAGTATACAATTAATGTATTTCTGATTATTAATTATGGTTTTAAAGTGGAGGAATAAATACAATTATGGCTTCATAATCTTTAAGTATTTTCAGCTCCATTTACATTATATTTTTCTGGATAATCTGACTCAACTAACTTCTTCAACAGTCTAACTTCTACCCAGTTGGAGACAAATGCCAAGGTATTAATATAAGAAAACTGCAGGACAATGTGGTGGCAGTGAGGGGGTGGGGGGGGAGGAGGGAAATAGTTTTCAGTCTATAACTGAAAATGCCTTCCTTCTTAATAATGGAGGTCAGGCATTACATTACTTTCTATACTCCAGCCACAGAAAATTATGAAATTCTTTTATGTCATTATTCCTAAGTGGTGGGCTTTGGCATTCATAAGCTTGCTTTCATTTTAGTACAAAGCCCTGAGGAAAAAAATCTCTGATTCTAGTTCCATCTTCCCTTCTGCTGACAATTTTCTTTCTAAAATCAATATCTGGTTCTATCAGTTAGGGCACTATAAACTATTCCAACCAAACCAAGTTAGTTTTGAAAGTGAAAGGTTATGCTATCAATTACAGGGTAACAGGTAGAAACCAAGTCATGTCCTGGCAACTGACATATAATCACCATTGCTCTCTGAGCCTAGTATCCTTCCACGTCACCCCTTAGCCACCTGGGGCAAATCCAAACTTTGCATGGCATTCCACAGCATCTTTGTGATATGACCCCTGGCTATTAACCCAGCTTCATTCTTCTGCTTCTCTTACCTATACTCCTTACTCTGACCACACCAATATTCTCATGATTTTGCTCAGGCTGTTTCATGCAGTGCCACTGCATTTTCTCCTTCTGTGTGGTTGCCTGGCAAACCTGTATTCATTCTTCAATAACCAGATACAATAGGACCTCTTCCCTAAAGCTCTCTCTGCCTCTTCTATTCCTATGGTTTTTAAAGCACATCCACCATTGTAACACTAGTATTATAATAATCAATTGGTCTATCATCCTTTATCACACTTTTGGTACAAGATGTGTTTCAAAAATTATTATTTTCTTTTGGATATTAGAAAAGTAATACAGCACACATTATCTGAGATAACATTCAGTAACCAAACACATGAATACATCTGTAATAAAATGTATGAATTATGTACACTGAGTGGGATCACTGAAGACTGTATGTAGTTTAATGCCAACTCAGACATGGTGTTAATGCCAAATTGCCATAATTTACAAAATAACATTCAGTCTTCAGGGTTTTGAGGTTTCATAATTGTTGATAAGGAGTTATGGATCTCCACGTGTTCCCATCCTACCAATACTCTCCTCCATGATCCTTCGGAGCAAAAAATCAAACTTACTCACCTTTTTATTTTTAGTGTGTAGTATATATCATATAATAAAAAATGTTTATGTTCATGGAGCTACTGAATACATATTTTGGGACTTATCTAAAAGGACACTCAAATGTCTGTGGATTTCAAGGTGGCTGGATGACTAAAAGCTGAGTGATTTGGAGGGAATACGCAGAAACCCTCCTGCTAGGAAGACGGTATAACCTAGCTTGTACTGTGGAACAATTTAGACCTGGATTCAAATGTCAGCTCCACTACTGTGTGGCTTTGGGCATGCTGTTTGGGTTTTAAGAGCCTCAGTAAAAGAGGGATATTCATATTTATTTCATAAGAATGTTGTGAAGTTTAAATGAGGTACTGTACATAAAGTATTTAACATCGCAATCTTCATAAGAAATGCAACAATGGGTTGCTATCATTATTAACTATTTATTTTTCTTAAACAGGAATACTGAGTGGAAAAGAGGCAAAGGTATGGATTGGGTATGAATCGAATGTTGAGTTACAGATGAGTAAGATGAGAAGCTCATCTTTTGATGATATCTGGTACTGAAAGGAATGCATTTGTTCATAATGGAGAACAACATTTCTAAGTAAATATTAATGTTTAGGAAGCTAGTAATTAACATTCCATTTTCCTACCCATTTGTGCTTAGAATAACTGAGAGATAGACACAGTATTCAAGCAGGTAACAATTAAAATACTAGGGAATATCAGCCTAGGTCTATCAGAATGTGGTTTGCTAATATATCACCTTGAATTAAGTGGACTTGCCCATACAGTCACAGGCCTGGCTGGACACCACAGACGTTCTCCATTAGGACTCGAACCTGTAAAATTACTACATGGAGGAGTAGAGTATTTGTTTCCTAAGGATAGGAAGCTTGCACCTCAAAGAAGGGGGAAACACATAAGTCACTTCCTAGGGATAGCAGTGGGCCAAAATTCCATGATTATTCCTATCTTGTACGTCCTTCCATTAGAAACATGAAGCAAGAGCAACAAAAGAAGATGGATTCATTAAAATTGTATCCTGAAAAAATAAAACTAAAATCAAGCTCCCTGTATTTTATACATTTTTTTACATTGCTTGTAATTATGACTAATCATTAAAAGTATTAGAAAAAAAAATGAACTGTTTAATACTTCAATATTTATGACAAATTTTTCAACAAAATTTGTTTAACAAAATAAAAAAGAATCTATCAAAAGATGAAGGGAGGACCTAGAAGAATTTATAAAGTCATCAAAATGTTTTAAATGGTTCTTTTATGATTTTGATTAAACGTTTTTTAACTATAGCATAAAGAATGTTATGAGTTTGGACTTAGTCCAAAAAAAAAAATAAGTAGGCCCAGAAACATTTTTAAGTTAGGTATTGAAATGGTCAGATACCCTTTTCATAAATAACACTCTAGGTAGGGAGAAGATATGAGTGGCAGCCAGGCTAGAAGAGGAAAAACTTGTTAACAGATTACAAATCACCCACATGAGAGATTATAGTCACTCCAAAAGAGGGTTTCTGA